CTTCTTTCCTTCTGCGGGCCTACTGGAAGAGATTTCAACATGAAATAAGTAGTGCCCTTATACTTTGTATCCTTATTGTCGTGTTTCTTCTGACAGCTGTGTCTACAAAATATATTAAATAAAATAAATAAATAAATACGTGGAAATTAACTGAAGTCCTCTAATTTTGTTAATTATGACACAGTATCGAACATAATCACCAGGAAAACACAAAAAACCTCCTTGAATAACTCAAAACCTAAATTCTGTTTTGATATGACCAACTAAAAACTTTTGTAGCATTCCAGTGTTCAACCCACTAATTCGAGGATGAGCTCTGAATTGCTAAACAACATTCAAGTCACATTGCCGCAGCAAAGCAACATTGAATACATCCTTGTCAAGTGCAGGAGTCACGGGACAGTAAATAGTGTTTCTGTATATCGCCTGAGAGGGACACGTATACACACTCGAGTTAATCCGCAAAGGATTCAAATATCACGGTAGATGACACCTTTGCACCGTTGCCAAAAAACGTGTCAAGTTGTGATGCGCTAGGGATGAACGGAATTTTAAATAGGCAAGTTTTTTCCCTAAGATCTATTTTCATTGAAAAAATGAAAAAAATTAATACTTTTCTATGGTTTCTCAAATGCTACGTGACGGAATGGACGTTTACTCTGCAGTGTTGTGCAGACTTCTCGATTCGGTTTTCCAAATAGCAATTTAAAAATTGTACAAAAATATACAAAATAATATTATAATTTAAATGTAACACTACATAAATTGATTAGAAAAAAATGGGAATTACGTAACAAAATAATGGACAAGTTTGTCATCTCTGCCTGATTTAGTTTTTCGGAACGATATTATCTGCACTTCGTGGTCTGTCCGTGGTTATGGCCCTTGCAACAGCGCTGACATATAGGGAACTTATTACCACTAAAAATCGCTTCTTGAAATTATCAAATGTGTAGATTGCCCCGAATTACTGGTGGTAGGCAGACCTCTTGTGAGTCCGCACGGGTAGGTACCATCACCCTGCTTATTTCTGCCGTGAAGCAGTACTGCGATTCGGTTTGAAGGGTGGGGCAGCCGTTGTAACTATACTTGAGACCTTAGAACTTATATCTCAAGGTGGGTGGCGCATTTACGTTATAGATGTCTATGGGCTCCAGTAACCACTTAACATCAGGTGGGCTGTGAGCTAGTCCACTCATCTAAGCAATAAAAAAAAAAAAAACATACATAGACTACAATTTATAAATTAATATTGCCTAAACGCCTTGCTACATATTTCTAATGACCGTACAGTACAAAGGATGAGGATTTAGCAAAATCGATACAGTTTTGAATTTTATGAAGTTATATTCTGCGTATCGCATATGGTTGGAATTGAATGGCAGTTCATTTTGGTGCATTTGAAGCCGCCACACAATTACCTCTAACCTCAATACCCAAGAGAATATCAATGCGCATTAGCGCATGTAATTATACATCTACTAGCTCTAGTCTCTCTGTGATTAGTAATTAATCATGCAGTGGTGTTTATAGCAACTTTCTTCAATGTTATGATAAATTTATCACAAGATTTTGTGTTTGTGCTTTGCATCCGCGTTTTTCTATTTCTGAAACCTATTCCAACCTGTTTTACAAGAATATGTTAAATGCTAAGTTATAATCTACATACAATTATTTGAATGCGATAAATGAACAAATTTTTTTTTATTGCGTAGATGGCTGGACGATCTCACAGTCAGCCCACCTGGTGTTAAGTGGTTACCGGAGCCCATAGACATTTACAACGTAAATGCCGCCACCCACCTTGTGATATGAGTTCTAAGGTCTCAGTATAGTTACGACGGCTGCCCCGCCCTTCAAACCGAAACGCAATATTGCTTCACGGCAGAAATAGGCGGGGCGGTGGTACCTACCCATGCGGACTCACAAGAGGTCCTACCACCAGTAAAATCTTATCCACCTATCTAATCCACCAGTAATCTTTCCACGTTGTGCATTAGAGGAGTCTGCTTGTACATTAGAAGTCACATAAACAAGTTAATACCTATACACGTTATCTATTAGATAAGTTGTGAAAATAGTAGGGCGGGAATAAATTTGAAGGTTCCGTTTTAAAATATAATACTATCTCTCTAAACATTTGGATGCTCGCACCATTGACCGCGATAGACAAAACTGACTGAAAATATGTATTTGAAAGTCAAACCTTGTTATTTCGCACTTTTACTTCCAAAACAGGATCATAATAGTTATTTGTGCAGCAAAAGAGCAAAGTTGTTTTTTGGTTCGAGTGCTGATTTTGAGTCCCGACCAAGCGAAGGACTTTAAGATTGATTCATCGTTAGAATCCTAAACGTAGTGAGGGACTGAAAAATACGAAATGCAAAAAACTTTGCTTTCGTGTAGCACACATAACTTTTCACCTCAGCAGTGAGAACACATATTACTTAGGAGACATAGAAATGAACAGGAATAGATAGGAATGAAATAACTATTAAAAAAAACGTAATTTCTTTATTACAAATATCTTTAAATTTTAGGGTATTACGCGTTTCCGAACGTGTTTTCTTTGAGGTCGAATTTCAAAATCGAATTTCGAAGTTCGGGTTGTTGTTTTCACTCGCTTTTTTATATGCACGTGAAAGAGACAGAGCACAGTAAAATTCGAATGTTTCAAATTTATGGCTGAACAATGTCAATTCGTGGCACTGAAGATTGAAAAATTAAAAAGCTACTTTGACCCACGCTCGAATCAAAATCGCGTTTTGTTCACTGTTGTCTCGCAGCGGCATGTTTGAGCTGCTGAAGTAAAAAAATCTATTTTCTGTCTACAACAGTCCACACACATTCTTTTGTTACCTAGGAAAAAACACAGCGCACAACCCTCGGTATTCCATTACCAGCCTTCTTGTATCTTCCAATAAATTACGAAAGCTTTGTAATACAATGCAATAATTAGACGCGTACTACTGTAATGCATGCTTTGGCAGTAAGCCAGATTACTACATCATTGTAACGTATGGTATTTGGTTGCAATACGCTTACATTACGAGCTGAAATAGGAGCACTCGCCGGATTTTCATTGCACAAGATAAGGGAACTCATGTTTTGCCAGGTCTGAATTTTTTTTTCGAAAATGTCATCATACATTCCGTTGTAGATAATGAGAAATAGCTTATACACTCGCAACAGGTAAAAAAATCTTTTAAAACTTATACCTGGTATTTTTTGGTTCATTACTTTTTTTATTGCTTAGATGGGTGGACAAGCTCACGGCCTACTTGGTGCTAAGTGGGTACTGGAGTCCAGAAACATTAACAACGTAAATGCCGCCAACCACCTTCAGACAGGAATTCCATTTTATCATACATGTATCTACAGTATATTTCGACTAAAAATTTTCTTATTGTTCAATATAACTAATTAAAATTTAACATGCACCAGAAACAACAAAAAATTTACTGGTGGTAGGACCTCTTGTGAGTCCGCGCGGGTAGGTACCACCGCCCTGCCTATTTCAGTCGTGAAGCAGTAATGCGTTTCGGTTTGAAGATGTGCTGCAGCCGTTGTAACTATACTGAGACCTTAGAACTTATATCTCAAGGTGGGTGGCGCATTTACGTTGTAGGTGTCTATGGGCTCCAGTAACCACTTAACACCAGGTGGGCTGTGATCACGTCCGGCCATCTACGCAATAAAAAAATAAAAAAATAAAATTCTTCCCATAAACCATTTTACTTTTTAATTTAGTGTTTCAAAACGATGGCATGTTTAAAAATGTATTCAATCAATTTACCCTTTGCTCTTAACTCCGGATTCTTTAAATCTAAACCATCCGTCAAAGTTACCTTGAAAATGTTAATTTATATATACTAGAGGTCCCGCAGTAGTCGAAATTCGACTATAATTATTGGAATTGTAAGTTTGTACACTATTATGATTGTATTTTATACAAATTTCGCCAAGAATACACTATAAAAAATATTAACAAAGACAAACAATATTAAATCTATTCTCAATTTGACAGCAGACGTCAAGAACAAAAGTTTGACAATAAATAGTATACATGCGTGTGTGCGTCAAATAAATGGTATGTAGTGTGTGTAATGTTTTCTTTATTGATTAAATGTATCTTTTATACACTATTTAAAAAAAAAACCATTGTCCACTTCTTCACTATATTCTCTATAAGTGTGGAAAATTTCATACTCCTCCGTCCGCGCAATTTTCGTAAAAAAGGATACAAAGTTTTTGCTTCACGTATTAATTTATATATATAGCTCTCGAATAGAAACGAAATGTAAAACTGAATTACTTTCCACCGTTTACGTGGAACAAGGCTAGTCCATTTGCTCACAGAGAGATAAATTTAACGGTATCTATAAAATCTCCGAATGTAGCTTTAAATCAGTGCATTTTAAATTTTCCGCATAATGTCCTACACGAGAGCAGTTCTGAGTAGTTTGGTTTCAGGAAGAGGTTTTCGCTGTAGCGTCGTAAAGAGGAAATTTTTACGGTTTCTAAAGGGGAGTGGGGGGATTGAGGGGGGGAGGCACATATATTCTTATTTGCTCCTGAACGTGACCACAAGCTTGCATTTTAAGTGAACGAGTTGGTTACGATGTGTTCTCGCAGATATTTAGAAAATGAATTCTCATTTGTTTCTGTAATTCGCAATTAGTTCGTCCCCTAAAACCTTTAACTATAATAATATCAAAGTTCCTAAAATTTTGTAATTTTTGTTAAAATTATTTTTTTTATTTTTGGTTTCACGATCCGTAAACATAACGTAGGTGGTTTTTTAAGTTGTTTTTGACGATTATTTTGTTTTATTAATTATTAAAAGGAATTTTTGAATATTCAAATATTATATCAAAATCCTTCTTGATCAAAAAGAGGCTATTTATCCAAACAAAAGAAACATAAATTTCATTATTTTTATTATAGTATACAAAAACTCAACAACTCTTTACAACTAACATTTAATACAAAAAGCGTAAGAAACACATTGTTACGACAACTATGAGTGAGTTATCTCTTAAATATTATTATACGTTGTCAGTAATCAAATTTAATAAATTGAAATTAACATCAAATATTCTAGGTTGAGTGTATTAAGAATGAATTAAAAGTTAAAAAGCAGATAGCTTGGACACACTATGAGACATTAATCTTTTTTATACAAAAAAGAAAATGTTTCAAGAGTACTCAACTACGTAATTGTGAATCATTTTATTAGGAACTGTTCAAACATCAAAATGTAACGAAAATGCATTATTTTCAATAATATGCGTTAATAAATAAAGACTAGATTCATTGTATAGTGACTAGCGTTGATAATTGTATATCTATGTTAAAATCAGAATGCGGAAACAATAATTAAAAGAAAACGAAGTTACTAATAAGACAAGAAGGCTAATTCTGTGAACTATGATCGAAATTTATGGAAAGCAAATTGCGCCTCTCTCAAAGAACAATGAAAATGTTTAATTGAATTCTGTGCTAGTAAATAATCATGAAGCTAAAATAAAAGATTTTGTTACAGCAGAGCAACATTAAAATTTACAACTCTTAAACACTTTACATGACACATCTTAGTACTTATTTATAACAATGTCAATTTTAGTACGTATACAAAAAGTGCGTGAAAACTGTATTAATTGAAAATGAAAATTAACTTTCGGATAGAACAGAATCAGAATAGAAATATCAACCTCCTTTGAGTTCATTCATTCGATATCATGTGCTTGTATCATGACTTAATTTTTTTTTTTACGTTAACTCATTAAATTTTCACTTCTAAATTATCTCTTCAAATTCGCTTTAGAGAATTTTAGGATCAAATGAAGGAAATTTTATGTTTACTACCATCTCATTATCCGTCTCGTTCCGTATACCGATATTAATCTACAATTAACGTCTCATTAAAACAATTGAGAAGATTTACTCATAATAACCATTACATAATTAGCTAAATCATTAATCTTCAGTGCCCGTGATCCATTGGAGGTACTTGAAGGAGCGCGATTGAATCGGAGTTGGGCGCGCCTCTCTCCATGTACGCGGCTGTTTGTAAGTTGCCTGCTCTCTGAAAATACAATGAAAAATATTATTAACTCTAGCAAATATTCCGTAACATTCAAACTAGAGAGAATAAATGGTTTATATAAAAGAAATCTTAAGACTTAAAGTAATATGATATTGCAATACACAACTGTGACCTAATGATGAATAATATAGTATAATATTTTTTTAACAAAGTATATAAATCATGGTAAACAAATCAACTAACCTTGTTTCAGTAGAAGCACGAGAATGGTAATTGGGCACGTTCGGATTGTGATAAGTTCCGTGAGGCGCTGGGATCAGGGTGTGACTTTGTACCGGCGGATGTTCCAGACTGCTTGGCGACTGATAATTATTTGGATTATATCTATCTACTGACACTCCTCTAGTCCTTTCTAGGATGGGCTCATTTTTAGTATAAGAGCTTAAAGGTCTACTACGGCCCAGAGTGTTCGTTTTTGGCCACTCTTGGGATCCAGTGAATTCCCTTTCAAAGCTCCTTTCACGCCATGAGCGCGGCCGCAAAGTCTGACTCCAAGTGGGCGTTGATGTGTATGTAGATTCCGCAGTTTTCGTGAACTTAGATTCCGTCTCCCATGGGGGCTTGACGCTAGTTTGTTCAGTTTGTGTTTGAGATTTTTCAGTGAATTCTCTCAATTCTTTTCGCCACTGATGTTCAACAGGTTCAGATTGTTCATTATTGTCATAGTAATACTGCGGAGATGGATCTGGCTGCGCCTGAAATTTCGTTTCCGTGGGTATATATGTCGACTCGGGCACGCTAATGTAGCGTCTCTCGTATTCACTGTAATAAGTTTTTCGGCCAGACTGTTTGGATTGTTCCGCGGCGTTTACTGGTTTCACGAAAGATTGGTTAGGAGCTGGTGGTATGTACGCCGTAGGAGGAGGCTTAGCGAATTTGGACTTCGGGACTGGCGGTTTCCAACTTTGTGCAGGTGCAGTCGGTGTTAAAGTAGTGGTGGGTAGTGGTTGATAGTAACTTTGAGAGGAGTTATTTGCCAAATAAGACGAATCTTGTTCCCACGGAGGAGGAACATAAGAAGAAGAATATTGCTGTGAGGTTTTCTGATAATTGTCTGTTGTTTCCGTGTTTACGTAATTATATTGGCTCGGCTGTTGTAAATTAAATGATGGCGTAGTGTCAATGCTGCTAGCCCATGTCGGTTTTGGAGTGTAACTTGTGTAAGTGTTTGAACTTCTCTCTTGTGTAGTCTCTGTGTAAGTAGGTTGGTATTGCGATTGTAAAATTGGTGTAGTTGGTTGTGGAGTATATGGGCGCTGTATGGGTTGTGGAGTATATATTTTTTGTTGAGGTTGAGAGGCGTATGTTTGTTGTGTAGCTTGTGGAGTGATCGTTTTTTGGGTTGGTTGTGGGGTGTATGTTTGATTTGTGGGATATGTTGGTTGAGGTCGATAAGTAGGTTGCAACTGAGGTTGAGGTTGGGGTTGGGGTTGGGGTGAAGGTTGATGCTTAGGTTGCGATTGGCTCCAAATTGGTGTAGATGATACGGGTGTAGGCGTAACATCATTATAAACAGAATTTTCTCTTATTTGTTGATACCATTGTTGATTTGTTATTGAACTGGGTTTAACATTACTTATAGTCAAGACCTCAGATTGTGGTTCTTGTGACCATTGTCGCTGTTGCTCATTATTTTGGTTATGATAAATTTCAGATGGCATTTGCCTTTCAACGCTAAGTCTTTCCAGTAACAAGCTATGGCGTCGTTCAGTTGTTGGTTCAGGGTTGTAAGCTTGTTGGAAGGGTCTGGACGGCATTGGAGATGACAGAGATCTGTCCCTATTGGGGGGAAAATAGGTTTTAATAACCGGTATTTCTGTTTGGACAGGATCTTCACAAGTACCGTCTAATGTTTTCGTTGTGCGGTTAACAGTCTCAATCTTTTCTATTCTGTTGTATTCAGTTTGTGTACTGAAGGCTCCGGGCACAGGACTAGTGCGCGTAATAATTTCAGTTTTTTCTGTATGCGTTTTGGTGATAACTTCAGCCGGTCCGATTGGCTTAATTTCAACATCTTCGACTTTCTCGAGTGGCACTGATGGTTCTCTCATAGGTATTTGGGTTTTCTTTTCAGGCTCAGCTTCTTCTTTTTCTTCTATTTTAATTTCTACTACTGTCTCTTGTTTAGTTTCTGATGGTCGTACTGAGGATTCTGAAAAATTGTTTTCTTTAGTTTCAACCGTTTCGGCAGTTTCAGTTTCTATATCCTTACATTCCTCGTTTACTTCTTCTTCGTCATATTTTACAGAAGAAGGCTTTAAAACATCAACCTGGACTATTACTTCACTTTTATCGTCATCTTCCTCTTCTGCTTCTTTTTTTTCCTCAGCAGTTACAGTTTCAGTTATAACCTCAACCTCTTCTTCTACTTCATTTTGTTCTGCTTCTTCATATACTTCGTCATCACCATCATCATCATCATCACTCTTGGGTGTTTGCTCAACTTCAGTAATTTTTTTACTACTAACTACAACTTCTTCTTCTTCCTCTAAGCGGTTCTCTTCGTTTTGGTCGTCGTCTTCTGGTTCTGCATCCAAATTTTCTTTTGCAGACTCAATCTCCTCTTCTTTAGCTACTTTTTCTTCAATAACTTCCTTCTCTTCTTCTTCTACTTCTTCGTCCTCTATTTCTTCTTCTTCTTCATCCTCTTCTTTTGTATTATGATTTTGGGTTATTGATTCAGTTTTCTTAATTACAACTGTTACAGGTTCACTGTCTTCAACTTCTTCTTCTTCAACTTCTTCTTCTTCCACCATTTCCTCAACATCTTCTTTTGAATTTTCACTGTCTGCTTGTAATATAACAACTTTACGTGTTGTGGTTGTTGTAGTCTCTGATTTTTCTTCACCTTTTATGATATTATCCTCTTTGGTTTCAGGAGTATTTTCTTTGATGATTTTCTTCGTGATCACCTCTGGTTCTTCGACGATTTGTGATTTTTCTTCAACCTCTTGAACAGCTATATCGGCATTTTCTTGTTCTTCCAATTCTTCTTCAAATTCCTCTATTTCTTCATCAGCCTCTTCTTTTGGCAATGTTCTTGTCTCTGTTTCTGTTTTAATTTCAGTTTTACCGTCAATGGTAGTTTTTGTTGTAGTTGTTTTCACTTCTTGTACCGTGCCATCCGGTAGAATTTTCTTTACCACCTCAACTCTAGTTTCCGTTTTTGCACCTGTTTTTTTAGTTGGTAGCTTAACTGTCATTTCTGCTTCGACGTCACCATTATGATCACCATTTTGTTCTTCAATTTTTCCTTCATTTTTAACTGTCTTGCTTACAAATTTGACTTGTTTCTGTAATTAAAAAAAATTAAAAGTCAATTGTCTATTTAAGACATAAGATACATTCAAGAACATCAAATACTAAAATGTGATGAATATTTTTTTTTTTTCGTATTCTTGTCTAATATTATACTGATTATAAAAACATGATAGAAAATACAATAAGCTTTGCAATATTTCAGATGCGTAAATTTAAGTTGCATCATAAATTTGTCCACATAAGACTTATTTACTAATAAATTTTATTTTATGCATAAACTGAACATCATATTTCAATTAGAATTTCAATTAAAACCTTATCGTCTGAAGTTTCTTCGGCATCCGCTGTTTTCTCTGATTCTGTTAAAGCATCAACACTGATATCCGGTGTTAATATTTTAGGAACCGAATCTGCGTGCTCCCCATTTTGATTTTTTATTTCATCTGTTTCTTTATTTTGAAACTTTATAAAGGGCTCGCTACTAGGTACATGACTGACAATAGGCGAGCTTGTTAAATATTCAGCATCATAACTAATTTCTGGGAGTTCATATGGGTTCTTAAATCCAATACATCCATTATTAGTTTGTACTGTCTCATAAGGATTGTTTACGTATTCATACGCAGACGTTGGTCTATTATTATTTGTAGTTATAAACGAAAACGTTGGCTTGCTAACTGGCTCGTAACTTTCTATGTTTGATTCTTTGTTATTGTTTGTAAAATGATATGGCGGCGGTATACGTTGTACAGGCGGATCTTTAGGTGTGTCTGGGTTGCTTCTTGTTCGCAACAATGATTTAGGATTGGCCGGTAAATTAAAGGTCGGAAATACTTGGACCGGTAAGCAATTGTAGTTCGGTACTAAGATCGGTGTGGACGGCATCGGTGGCGACTGCACAGGGTGCGTTGGCACTTCCGGTACACCTTGATTCATTGCGTTTCGCATAAGTCTCTTGGCCATTCGTTCCGACTTGATCTCTGATAAGTCTAACCCTCCCGGGGTGTAAGTGAATGGCTTACGGTCGCGATTCATAGCTCCGTGTATCGCAGACGGTGGATTCATTTTACTGAAATATTTCACATTCCGTTACATACAAAAATGTCTTTCGTACGGTTCAAGAAAATCACGATTATTGTATATTTATTTTTTTAAGCATCGCGAGCTACGAACTATTTGGCAATTTGACAAAACATAATAATATAATAATATACTCACAAGCTTTGACGTTCACTATTAAAATATAAAATAGATATATATACTTCCTGCGTGTCAACGTATTAAAGAACTCAAGTTTGTTTGTCCAGCGGACACATTTGAGACGTATACTGTAGCGGCACTCGGCACAGTTAGATATTCACGTTTACATAAATGGATCACTTGTTTTTTGTGATGGAACATGCAGATATTAATCTGGTCGCAGCGGTTATATATAGCGCGGGTGTCGTAAATGAGCCGGTACATTTGAATCTGTGAGTCGCGCGCGGTCGGCGCGTGCGCCGCCTACCACCTACTGCCGTCCGAACGACATCAACCGCCATGTATTTTTGTACCGACCTCAATATCAACGGGCGCCTCGTCTACAATTCGTCTTGGGCGAAATCGTCTAAACAACATTCGGAATGCTTCCGACAGTTTCGCGATTATCATTTATTGCAACGTCGACTTATCTATCATTCACGTATGCGATTCCCGCAATGTTTCCGTTTATTCTCACTGTAACCGTGCCAAGTGAGATTGTTCGGGCCATTGAAACTGTCACCAAGAACTTTACCGCTCTTCGACTTTACAACTCAACGGTCAATTTTTAACGGTCGCTCAAATGGAGCAGGATTTAATTTGACGGTAGGCAGCGGCTTGGCTCTGCTCCTGGCATTGCTGATATCCATGGGCGACGGTAACCACTTACCATCAGGTGGACTGTATGCTCGTCTGTCTACAAGGGCAATAAAAAAAAATGTTTTTTAGACTAGAAAAAAAAATATTTTTTTTTAATGGCTTCCATAATAGTTTCCATAGAAAATCGCTGTTTACAAATATAAGCCCCGCCTATTACTGCCGTGAAGCAGTAATGCGTTTCGGTTTGAAGGGTGGGGCAGCCGTTGTAATTGGAAGGCGTATTTACGTTGTACATGTCTATGGGCTTCAGTAACCACTTAACACCAGGTGGGCTGTGAGCTCGTCCACCCATGTAAGCAATAAAAAAAAACGATTTCAGCGTGCGTATTATATGTAAGATATGTGATCTGAATGCAGCGTCATCGCGAGATTTACTCGGTCGGGTCGCCGATCCGTTTATCCTCCACCATTACAGTTGGCTCCTCACCAAAACTTTCTAATTCAACATTGCTTCGATACGTTGTAACGGACAAGCCTGATGACGTCACTCACTAAACGAACCGATGCGACCTTCCTAATTTATTGAATACATCTACTTTACTATTTTTTTATTCTTTGTACTATCGACGATCGATACTGGAGTTGCCTTCAACGATATCTTTTTTTGTTATTGCTTAGATAGGTGGACGAGCTCACAGCCCACCTGGAGTTAAGTGGTTACTGGAGCCCATAGACATCTGCAACGTAAATGCGTCACCCACCTTGAGATATAAGTTCTAGGGTCTCAGTATAGTTACAGCGGTGCCCCGCCTTTCGAACCGAAACGCATTGCTGCTTCACGGCAGAAATAGGCAGGGTGGTGGTACCTACCCGTGCGGACTCACAAGAGGTCCTACCACCAATAATAATAATATCTTTAGACTACCGAATTAATTTTCTTTATAAGCAATTAGATATTATCATTGCTTGTGGTTGGTAATCGATATAAGTATTCCTTTTTTTTATTGCCCTTGTAGACAGACGAGCATACGGCCCACCTGATAGTGAGTGGTTACCGTCGCCCATGGACTTCAGCAATGCCAGAGGTAGAGCCAAGCCGCTGCCTACCGCTTAATACTCTCCACAAGCCTCGTTTGAAGAAGGACATGTCATAGCGCTCGGGAAACACAACGAGACATTCATTAGAGACTCATTTTAGAATATTCAGCAAACCAAATGGATGCATTCAATAAAGAAATTCTGTAACTCAGTTCTCTTAACATTATTACGTTTACTCGTAAAATCAATAGCGGTGTAAAACTAGAATCAAATAACACTTACCGATCTCAGAAGTCTGTAAATTTTAGTAATTGGCCATTTAAATAACATTTGCAGTAGGGATGGCGAAATATTGATAGGCAAAAATCGATTCAATTCAGATAAGTTTCAAACGTAAACTTTGAAAAAAACAAAATAAAATATTTGAATATTTTTTTTGTTGTTACGTATGCTTCACTTGTGTACGAAGAATAATTCGAATAAAATCGTAGGCATTCAAAAAAAAATTAAATAAATTTAATAGTCCATTATCAATTCATTATAAAACAATTAAAAAAAATGACATAAATTCAACAAATTTTCATCCAGTTATCACACTACATAAGTAAAATAAAGGTTAAATATACAGTCTTAAACAATAATTGAAGTCGTCGTGGCCTAGAGGATAAGGCGTCCTGTGCATTCATGTCGAGAGATGCACCGGTGTTCGAATCCCAGACGGGCACCAATTTTTCTAATGAAATACGTACTCAACAAATGTTCACGAACGACTTCCACGGTGAAGGAATAGCATCGTGTAATAAAAATCAAACCCGCAAAAATTATAATTTGCGTAATTACTGGTGGTAGGACCTCTTGTGAGTCCGCGCGGGTAGGTACCACCACCCTGCCTATTTCTGCCGTGCCATAAAAAACAATTATAATTGATAGTATTTACTTAGGGTCTGGTTCTCACATTTTATCGTTATGCGATTAATACCAATACGGTATTTATCAGTAGGTAGTTATGTGTAGAATATCAATAAAATAAAACGGTATTAAGCGGTAGGCAGCGGCTTGGCTCTGCCCCTGGCATTGCTGAAGTCCATGGGCAACGGTAACCACTCACCATCAAGTGGGCCGTATGGTCGACTGCATACAAGGGCAATAAAAAAAAAAAAATTAGATTTTTTTTAAACCTAATTTTATGACGTTTTAGTTATAAACGCGATAATGGCACTAAAGTAGCTATGCAATTCTGTACCTAGCCGTAAAATAGATCAATGATATTCTGGGAAACACACAATACTCATCGGAACAGATCTAACCGATAAAAATGCCTCATTGTGTCAAGTTCTGACATCCCTAGCCCATACCGATACTTCCAATTCAGAAACCGACCGTAAAGACTAAGAATACTAAATGCGGTTGGAGTACTTATCAAGTACCCGAATTAAGTTCAATGACTTATCGAATAACAAATCCTGCTGCCTCATGTTATTTTAATGTGAGCTTTTCGCCCGAAGGCAAAAGGGTCGCGTCGCCCGGCTGAGTGGGTTTCAAAAATTTACTACAATTCTATCGTTGTAGAATAAAAGAATTATACTGAATTTGAAAGGTTTAGTAGTAGAATTGAAGAGATAAGTGGTTCAACCGATAAAGTAATCTCTAAAAAATGCTTTACGAAGCTCAATTATGATTTGTACATCTCTGTAGTTGCTATTTGCGCCATGATTATCGCCTTATCGTTGCCGCCACTGACTACTCCCCGAATCCTGATCACGCAGGAGCCAGTCACCGTCGTCGCCCTAGACACGTCCTTACGGATCCATCAAGTCCAATAATCCTTGCATTACACGCCTTCCGCTCTAACACTAGGAGTAGAGACCCCGATAACCGACCTCGTGCAACCTAACCTAAGCATCAGCCCGTTGAGTTTCTCGCCGGATCTTCTCAACGGGTCCCGATTCCGATTCGGTAGTAGATTCATTCGCGAAGCAGCTACTCTTGAGTAATTAGGTTTCCCTTGGAGGCGCTCGGGCAGCTGTTAGTAAATCTTGCCCCTTCTGACTGAGCCCTTGCTCACTCATCTGTCCTTGTGAAACCGGATAAGCCTAAAGACCCCCAGTAAACCCCCAATTATAAAAAAAAAGTTTCTATTATCCCAACAATAATTTTAATAATAGAACTAAACTTATTCGTTATTAAATAAACAACGCGATCGTCTAAATTCTTACTTTAGTCTACAGAACAACGCAACATCCTGTTTGTTGAAAGTCCGATACGACTAGGAAATTATTTTATGAAAAGGAAATTGAAAAAGTACTCACTTTAACTTCTGTCTTCACTGATTCGCCTTTAGTCGCCATTCTGTAAAAATAAATGAAATTAGAAATGATAAACAGTAGGTACATCTCTTGGGTCGTGATATTTGTTTTTTTCCGCGATACTTTAATATTAGATCGAAAAATCTTGGTCAAAATGTAATTTGCCTTTATTGTTATGGCTTACATTTTAGATGGATGGACGAGCTCACAGCCCGCCTGGTGTTAAGTAGTTACTGCTGGAGCCCATAGACATCTACAATGTAAACGCCGCCACCCACCATGAGAATGAGTTATAAAGTCTCAAAATAGTTATAGCGGCTGCCCCACCCATCAAACCGAAACGCATTACTGCTTCACGGCAGAAATAGGCAGGGTGGTGGTACCTACCCGTGCGGACCCACAATACGTCCTACCCCCAGTAATTACGCAAATTATAATTTTGCGGGTGCTTTGCTTTTATTACACGATGTTATTCCTTCACCGTGGAAGTCCATCGTGAACATTTGCTATGTACGTAATCCATTAGAAAAATTGGTACCCGCCAGCGGAACGCTGTTCTTTTCTTCATTTGAAGAATTACCAGCTTAAGAACCCTAATTCCTTCTATGTACACCAGTGAAAGTATCGTGGGCGTCTTTACTTCATACAATAATATTGATTAATACCAACAAATCTGTTTCAGATATTTTTTTTAAAGTTATCAATCGTTTATCTGATTTTCTTATGTCTTTTAAATTTTTGTTTAAATACTACGTTTGATAATGAAATGTTTTTACGTTATTTGTATGTTTTTTTTTTTCACTTATTCAGTTTATAATATCTGTTATCTTGTTTTTATTTGTCCTTTTTTTTATTCCTCACACGGGTAAAACAGCTCACAAC